ATATAACCCTAATATACTATAGTAAATCGTAATGCGTGTTTAAGGAAAGGGTAGGCTGCAAAATCCCCATGCAAGTAATGTGGATCGCCGTCTTGATTCACAGAGGGGCTTAGACTGCTTGAACTCCGAGGACCCGGTGTAGGGTTTAGGGTTCATGGTCACGTTTCGATACAAAATAACTCCTACAGCCCCCAAACCTGAATTTTCTCCAAGCCCAAAACTTCCGAAACCCTGACAACAAGAATCCATCAAATCTTAATCTGAGCCTTGACCTGTGGCCATTAAAGCAAATAAGATATGATCTCCCTTTTGGGGTTTAGGCCGTAGGGTCTCGGGTTTTTAGGGTTTGTCGTCTAGGGTTTAAAGTAAGCAACGCAGCAGAATCCTGATCCCTCTTGAGAAGGAAAACCTGATAACACGAGGAAACATTACAAGCACTTGAGTACTAGCAAGGTATGTTGCAGAACACTATTGTGATCTAAATCACTTATTCTAGGAACACCTGGGTATAAGGGGTTCCCATATACAATCCTAACCATCACTTTGAAAATCCATTTAAGGAAGCGCAGAAAATAGGGATCTTGATGGAGTTCTGGAGTTCTTCTCATGGGTCTCCTTATATAGGGCCCCCTTAAGCCTAAACCTTGAACCCTNNACCCTAAACCCTAAGCCCTACTTGATCCATGACGTCTTTTTCACGCTGGATTTTGGTCCGCCCAGGACGCTGGCGCCGCCAGATTTCCAGCAAGCTCAAGGCCTGCTACACAGCAGACTTGACTTAGGGGTTATATAGGGATTATANNNATGGAAACTACTATGTAAGGTTTAGGGTTTGAGGGTTCAGGGTTGAGGATTTAGGAGTTTAGGGTTACTATAGTATTCCCCTATAATGGAAAATCAAATGGAAAAGAAAACGGAAAATGAAATGGAAACTACTATAATGGGGTTATATAGTGTTTACGTAGGGTTTTAGGGTTCAGGGTTGAGGATTTAAGGTTCAAGGTTGAGGATTCAGGGTTTAGGGTTCACGGTTAAAGGGTTTAAGGGTTTAGGGGTTTAGGGTTTCAGGGTTTAGGGTTTAAGGGTTTAGGGTGTACGGGTTTAGGGCTTAGGGATTAGGATCTAGGGTCTAGGGTTAAGGACTTATATAGGGTTTAGGATACAGGGTTTAGGGTTTGGGGTCTAGGTTCGGGGCTGTTCCTAAAAATAAAACTTGTAATAAGAATACAAAATGGCTAAAATGGTAGTAATAATAATGATAATCATACTAATACTAGTACTAATAATACTAATAATGGTAATAATAATGGTAAGAATAATGGCAATACTAATGATGGGAATAACAATACTGGAAATAGTAGTAGTAATCGTTGTAATAATGGTAGTAAAAAATAACAATGGCAATACTTGTACTAATCCCTAAACCCTGAACCCTAAACCCGCAATAACAATTCCAGTGATCGTTGCCTTGGGGTTGAGGCCGAAGCAGAGGCGTACGTCTTTCGGACGATAGCCGAAGGCTTGAGGTCAAAGACGTTTTTTGGTTTAGGGTTTAGGTTTTTGGGCTTAGGGTTTAGGGGTTGAAGGGATTTGGGTTAAAGACGTTTTTGGTTTAGGATGGGGTGGAGCATGTAGTGCTTCAGGATCATCACAGCAAGGGTCCGTAGAGATTTGTTGATTGACTCCTGCATGCACAAGCCTCCCATCCAGAAAAGCAATCGCTTTACGACGCGCAATCAGCAGTTGATCAAGCCACGTGTTCCCAAATATTCCTGCAGAAGCACACTGCATAATCACATGAAAAAGCAACACCATTATTACTATTGTTACGAGTAGTACTATCATTACTACTCATAATAATTTGGGCAAGCCTCATAAGGGAGTTTCCACCTGTAGGGAAGCCCTTGCTTGGTTTCCCCATGTTCCCTCTGCGATCCTTAAATCCCTAGGGTCCCGAAGGGTTTAGGGTGTAGCGTTGAAGGTTTAGGGTGCCCCTAAGGGCCCCCGATACACCCCTATAAAATCGAGTTTCCATCTCATGTTTCATTATCTATTGTTCCATCGGATATTCCATTTAAATGTCCATCAGAACCCAAGTCCTAAATCCCGAAAAACGACCTAAACCCTGAAACCTGAAGCCCCAAACCTCAAAGCCCTAAACCTTGAGACCCTGAACCCTACAACCCCAAGCAACGATTTTGAGCCCTAAACCCTAAACCCTTAACCCTCAGAAGAGCGCGCTCCTGTCGCCACTGCGCCGCCTTCTCGCATGCACTGATTGCCGAGCTACAAGTTATCCTCGCTTGCTGGTAAGGAACTCCATTTCTTTTAGGGTCTACGTCTTAAGGTTTAGGGTGCAAGCTTCCGGGTTAAGGGAGTGGAGAATTAAATGCAACAGGAAACTGGAGATTGTATAGGGGCTGGGGTCGTACAATAGAGGATTCAAGAGACTCAAATTTCACCTGAACATACATATATAGCAACAAATCTGGCCCTCCCATAATGTTTACTGAAATTAAGTTCCTTAACAGCAACCCAGCATCACGTCTATGGCGCCCTGTCGGAAGCAGAGGGCGAACAAGCGCAAAGCGGCCTGGGAGGGCGGAAGGAAGGCATCCGCAGGGGCCGACAAGACTTTGGTCGTGTGTAGGCGCTACTTATATGAGGGTTTCCCAAAATTAGGGGTACCTTTTTGGGGGGTCCCCATAATAAGGATTATAGTCTTTTGGGGTCTACATTGGGATACTCCTATTTAGGGAAACTACCATATAAAGAGAGAGAGAAAGAGAGACAGAGACAGAGACATATGTAATATGGAGTTCATTACGTGCGAGCTATAATAATGGAGCAATACTAGGCTTCTACTGGATTGCTTTCATGTTGCGTGCCCAAAGTTGAAGGACTCTAAGTTTCAAGCGATCTGCAGATCAAAGCACGTAATCGGCGCAGAAAGCACGAAAATTCACATGCAAAGATGCCTTCCAAACACCCGCTCTTTCGCAAGCAGTGATGGCAGCATTGAACGAGATGCGCGTCCTCCTCAGCAAGCAGGAAGTTGGTCGACATCCTTGAAGAGCTGACTGGGCATTATTTGCGAGCACGGCGGCGTGACGCTCCTAGCAGCCATCTGCTCAAAAAGCGTAAGCGCCACCCTCCACTTTGCACCTTGCAAATTGGTTTTCATCAAGATTTCACGCCGCAAGCGTAGCATCTTGACTGTTGATTTGCTTTACGATCGAGTTCAAAGTTATGCTTGCATCTGCGCCCCAAGCGAAGCCACAAGAAACTGCGCTAGCACAAGTTACGGCAACCGAATGAGATACGCCATCTGGCATGATGCCCAGGCACCCACGGTACAGCTGGTCATCACAGCGTTGTAAGTAATCGCGTTCCTGACGCCGTTTTTGCACATGCTGATAGCAAAGACTTGTTTCTGCCAGTTCGCAGGCTCATGGACAGGAACTAGGCTGGTTAACAAGGACCACGACCCTGCTTGTGAACCCTGATTGGGGATATATGGTCCCTAGTAGTAGATACTTAGGCCCTACTAGAGGATAGGACGAGGGTCTGAGAATACGTGTTCGACGGATTGTTGTTTGGGATGCCACTCAAGAGCTCACCCAATATGTCACATCCCATCTTTCCCCGGCGATGCCCTGCGCACCCCCTTTGGCCAAGCTGGGTGAAAATCCAGATTCCGTTTAGGTTATATGGGGAATATTTAAGAGAACATATGAGAGCATATAAGGGGTTATAGAAGTATTTGGAAATATCATCCCAATAATGAAAAACCAAATGGAAGATTAATGGACAAAGAGTGAAAGTTGCAGATTCATACAGACTAATAGGGTATAAATAACCCCAATATAGTAGTAGTTTCCATTTTCTTCTCCATTATCCCCATAGAACCCCCAATGTAGTACCTATAAAGCCTCGGGACGGCTGTGGCCAAGCAGATTATACTTAGCCAAGCAGGGAAACTCTCACCGCCTCAGCCATAACTTATACATCTTCAAACAGGGAAGCCTAGATGCACGCGGTTGATACTAAAAGTCCTGCATGACTGTGTTATACCAGTACCATATTCCCGAAGTATACGACTCAGGGTCATGCAGGAGTTTTGAAGTATCTACCCTATTCCACCCCTACATAGTCCAAGCGTCCATTGCATTGTCAAGTCTCTTTCCCACTTGATTCTCCATTAGTTGGGTAGTATGCCTATACCTTTTATAATCACGACATACTCCCAGTATAACCCTACGATAACTCTCTAGACTATCCCGTCCTGGGGATAGTCCTTCTGGTCATGTCAGAAAGCAGGTTGAGGGCATGGCGCCAGGTTCCTGCAAGGCAACAGGATTTCGGGTTTTGAGGGCTTCAGGCATTGAATTGAGACAACAAGAAGGATTGCTCTAGCCCCAAGACTCTAGACCCTAAACCCAAAGCCTAAACCCTGCACCCCCCAAACCCTAAGCCCTAAAACCTTCACTCATTAAACCCTAAGCCCTAAACCCTAGCCCTATGCCCTAAACCCTAAGCCCTAAAC